GAGCAGCTAGATTTCTTTTTTTTTTTTTTGCTTCCCTGGCTTAGAAGCTGGTAGGCTGGGCTCTGTCCTGGCCTTCTACATGGCCTGGTGCCCGTGCTCCCAGCCTGCCAATGGCCACCTTGGCTCTCCTCTTTCCTGTTGGCCCTGATGGGATCTCTAGGTCCTCTCCTTCCCACAACACACGACCGAGGCAGAGAGGTGACATTAAATCACTGGAACAGCAGATAAAAGGCCCGTGCTGTATTTATTGAGTGTTACAGCTAAGTAATCCACTCTGCTGTCAGTGTCTAGAGAAAGAGCAAATAAAATATACATACCCCATGCTTTGATGTGATGAAATCTCCAGAGGACACTTGCATTAGTGGCGCTCACAGGACAGCTGCAGCTGAGTTGTTCAATGGAAAATATATAAGACTTTCATGATTTTAGGCAAATGCTATGACTGGTTCTTTCTTGTACACTGGACAATTCCATGATCTGTAAGCTGTTTTTATTTATTTTTTTCCCCCCMAAAAAGTTATTAAAATCATCTTGACCATTTTTACTGGAATGGGAAAAATTAATAGTTATTTTGTGGTTTCATACACATTAAAACAACAGTCTGGTTTTCATTCAAACCAATAAAGTATGGAAATTCAAAATGAAGGCACTCTTCATGTCCTTAGATCAACTTGTTCTCCCTGCTGAAAATGTATAATGGCTGGAACAAAAGGGAAAAAATCACTCTTAACTCATAATGCTGTTGTTGCATATAGTTCATGTTTTTCATAGCTGGCTTTCCAAACCTGACATCACATTTAGCCTGTCTTCTCAAGCCTAAGAACTTCCTCTGTCTTGTAAATATACAGCAATTTAGAGTCCAGTGAGCCACCTACGTTAYTTTTAAAATCCAAAGCAACAGTTAAGCAAATTGCTTTGCAAATGCACATCGCATACCTGAATTAATATGATGTTTATTTTTGAGTTGACATAGTGAAGGCACCAGAGACACCATCCTAAGTGTGAGAGAGGAAAGAGAACTCATGGGTTTGAGGAGCTYCAGCATCTTCTTAGGTGTGGCACAGAGGCAGAATGGTCATTGTCACAGCACTGCCCCTTGGAGTCCATCTCCTGTCTTGGGATAGACTCCCTTCAAGCTATGGCTCCTCTTCAGGGGTGAACAGGCTATTGCACCACTGTTCAGCAYCCCTAATAAGCCCAACCCCTCTTGAAACTTTATAGCTTGTGAAGACAAGTCTATAAAGTGAGGTCAAGTCTTAAACRGGGTGCTCGGAGCCAACTGGCCAGCTCAGCTTTGGCAATACTTCTATCATGAAGGCTGAATATACTGATTACTTCAGTAGATTCAACGTCCTGGTGAAAAGCCACCCCTAGGCAAGTTTATGGTCATCTGCAGTAGCCAACATGTGCTGCAGACCAGAGGCAGAGGCGGAACAGGGTTTAGCTTCCATTGGGCCGTGCAGTCCCCCRGACAGGGGGAGCTGATTTTGATCTCCAACGTATTTCCGCTGTGTACAGACTTCGGACGTGCTGAACTTTGCCAGGGGAATTTGCTTGTCGGGAGAAAAGCAGCTTTGTTTATTTGCTTTTCTCCCAAAGGGAAAGAAGTTGCCAAACCAACCCGGACAGAGAATAGTGCTTTAAGATGGGACATTGCAGCGTTATTGTTATTAGCTTGTTTATAGTACTTTTATATTCTGTAAGTGCACAGCAGGAATACATATATCATAGCKTTGAGAAAGGGACCTGGCGGCCGCAGACCTTTTGAAACCCGTTATAGAGCTTTTACCTGAAAGAAGTGACATCTAAGTATGTCCTGGACAGATGGAAAGGTTGAATGCTAAGCTGTCAGGGGCACAAGATTTGCATGAGTTTGCATTTGTATTACCCCTCTGAGAGCATATTAAATAATGAGAAGGATGAAGGCTAGAAAAGGGAAAAGGAAGAGAAGAAAGATGTGGAGAAGAGGGTGAGATGGAGTGGAAGTGTGTGGGGACAGACAGAGAGAGACACTGGAAAGAAAGCATACAATCAAAACCATGGGAATGTTTGATGAAATCACTACTGGCCCTTGTCTTGTTTAAATTGCTTTTTGTAGCTTGCTCTGTGCCTAAAAACAAGGGCTTTACAGGGCCATCAAGTTCAGTCCTGCCCTTGCAGCCACTGTATCATATGATCCTTGTCTAAATTTGTGGTGCTCCAGGCAGCTTGTTTTCCCAAGGTCATGCAGTATCAGTGGGGGAGAGGGACGTGTGAGATCAGTGGGGTTTCTGGACTCGATCCATCCCCTCTGTTGTGTGTATCTTTTGCAACTGCTCTGTTCCCTGCGTGATCCGCCAGGAGGAACTGGGACGCTGGCACTGCTAATATCACCGCTCGGACTTGACACCCAGCAGCGCCGCCCGGACAGGTCCYAGGTGCGGGCACATGAGTGGCCGCACTGCTAAATTCACAGCTCGATCAGGGAGTTAGCGCAGGCCAGGGAGCATCCCTGGTAGAGCAGGATGTCCACAGTATCCTTAGCTCTAGGACCATCCTGCATTCAGTGCCCTGCGCTGCAAAAATTCCATGCATGGGTGTTGCAGAAGCTGGAAAGAGCAACGTGAAAGCGGGRAGCATGGAGGACAAAGGGGATGACAGCCTGCAAGGGACTGTCACAGTGCTGGGGGGTTCTTGTAGGGAACCACAAAGGATGGCAGGCTCATTCGGGAGCTCAATGCTGTCTTGGAGACGCTGGGCAGCTCGTACAGATGGGAGGTCCGTGACACATCTGATGTTCTGAGGTGAGGTGGGTGTGCTTGGTTCCTCAGCTAGGACATGTTCAAAGTTAGGTGGAAAGAGGTGAGCAGCTCTTGCAACAAGGTGTTTTTCTCTGGAGCATGTTGTCCATGGTCATCTTTCCACAGACAGGATGATTCCTAGCGGAGCAGCTCTTCTAGGCAGTAGCAGGCCAAGAGCAACCTCCGTATCAGACTGTTCCTGCATCTTAATCACAGACCAGCAGGATGACAAACAGGAACCATACTTTACTATAACTTCCTYGGAGGCATCTTTATCTCTTGAGGCAAAGGCCCACGAGTAGCCTCGTGGYTTTTTAAGTGTTGTAAATGACACCAAATAGGGACATAAATTGTGTCCATGTAGAACTCTTGCCAACTTGGACCAGTCATGATGAGGAGTTTGACCTCAGCAACTGTTGRCTTGCTCACCTGAAATGGTCAAATGCAGGGTGGTGGGGATTGCAACTTATACCAGTGCTTCTCTCTATCAGGGTGGGCTCAGTTAGGCTCTGTCATCTGCCTGTTGTCTCCTCTGTGTAGAACTTTTTTGCATTTTGATGTTTTCATGGTCCTACCTATGCTTTTCTGTGCACAGGGCAGTTCACAGAGAGTAAGGACCCCACTTCCCTTGCACCACCCYGTCCCAAAACAAGGTATCCCGTCCCAGACCTCTGGAGCCCCTCAAGTATGACAGTTCTGCTGGATTAAATATGAGATATTCTGTGTTGGTCAAGTTGGTGAGCAGGACTTCTCACTAGCATCTAGACCAGCAAACTTGCAGCTGGGATGTGGCCATCCTTGGGTATAAATGTGTCCAACTCCTGGTTACAGCAGGGCCAACATCACAGCTGCAGCAGGGTGCTCAGGGCCATGGCCAGATGAGCCTGGGCAATCCCTGAGGATGGAGATCTGCTTTGGTGGAGCCTCTTAGAGGCTCTTCAGTGGCCTGTCTCCACTGTGTCCATGTCTCCTTGTACCAGTATGGGTTTGGTGGGCCAAATACTGCCTTCCTGCATCTCCTGAGTGCTGGGCCCTGTGCGTGGTGGGGCTGGTATGACGCAGGGCAGAGTTCTGTGTTTCTCTCTTGCTGAGTACTGTGAGATACAGATGATGATCTTACTCATGTAGATGTAGTACCTAACTCCGTGAATTGTCGGACTGATTTATTGGGTTAGGTTAGGGTTAGGTTAGGACTTGTTGGACTTACTTTGCATAAGATAAAGTGGCATTTAGGTGCACAGCGGGACTAAAACACTTTTTTTTGTATAGAGATCATAATATCAAGACAAAAAAAAAATCTTACAGTAATTGGAAGATAGCAGAGTTAATCACAGAAAAAAATGGAAAAAGACCTTTCAGCTTCTCTGAAAGTTTACGACCTACCTTAAAAATATCTACAGCTAAAGGAACTGAGCCTCGCTGTAAAACTTTGGTGTGGTCTTCCTCTTTCTGAGCGTTTCTCAGTTTGTCCCCATTACTATTGTGTTTTTTTTTAAATCTATTAGCATAAATTCTCCTCTTCTTCTTGATCACAAGCATGCTAATAGTCTGGATATTGCAGTATCAAAGTAGCAAAAGTAGCAAAAAAAAAATCCCATGGGGTTTTTCATCTTCTCATCCAGTTGAACTGCAAGACAAAAAAAAATGACCTTTATGAGTATTTTCTCCAGAGATTCAAGAGGTCTTATATCCGCTCGTTTGATGTGTTAAGTCATTTGTTTCTTTACAAGGGCATAAAATCATTCACCCTGTATGCTAGAGGCAAACCCAAACCTTGATTCCCCGAGAAAATSTGTGCCGATTGAGCACAGTATGGGAAAGACGTTGAGAAAAAGTCACCTGTCATGGAAGTTTGGAATCACTTGCAGCTAGCAGAGCCTTGATGAGGGGGGAGTGTGTTGGAAGGACGTGCTTTTCACAAACCTACTATAAAACTTCATTAAGAAGTATCTCAGAAAAGAAAAAGGAAACAAACAAAAGGAAAGTACTTCCTTTGTCTTCCAATAAAGATTTTTAAAATCTTTACAAAATTAAACATTACAAAATGTYTATATTTTGCACAAAGCTTTACAAAATTAAAATCTTTAAAATCTTACGATTTTCAGGTCCTTTTTAGGAAAGATTAGTCAGCTTAACCACAGGGATGCACGCGTTTTATGTTTGGCGAGAAAGAAAAAAGAAAAGCATTGTCTGATTTCTCCTTTTCTTTTAATTCCACAGTAATTACTGCAAGTCAGAAGCAGCAGCTGGAAGCTGTGCGCTATTCCTCTCGCTACGCTCTGGGGCTGTTTTACGAAGCCGGTACCCGGATTGATGTCCCCTGGTCTGCGCAGTACGTCACCGGTAATCCCTGCGTGCGCTTCATCTCCATCGATAACAAGAAACGCAATATAGGTCAGTGCACCCATTATTGCCCTTAAACGCAGCGACAATGGAGGGTGTAGATCATGAAAAATGCTGTTTAATTGAGTGTCGCTGTTCTGAACAGAGCAAGTATTTAACTCCAAGCCGCAGCGGATAGCATTTAATGTCACATTTGGCTTGTAATAAAATACACAATGAAAGCGGGAAGGTCCTCGGAAAATCACCACCCAGCACATGGTTTACGTTATTGCCTTTATGAAACCAGTGTCGGGGGATTTGAGACATCAAAATGTTGCTATTCTGAGAAGGAGCTTGAGTTCCTTTGTTTAAACTTTAATTCATACACATGCCAATTTATCTCCCGTCATCCATTATTTTACAACTCCTGTTCTAAGTATGCTTGGAAGTAGTAATGAGTTATATAACTGAGGCTGTTCACTCTAATTCAGAGTTAGCTCGTGTGCTTTTAAAATCATGGAAAATCCTTGAAATGGCTGCACATAGTACGGCTGCTTTGCAAAGTTTGGAGAGCATCCCGTAAGGCAGACACTTCTCATCTGTTTCTGGACGATGGCAGTAAAACAAATGTATGTTTTGTTTATTAAATGCATTGCATATGCCAAGAGGTCTGGGAAGTATGCTGGCATAGAATATCTCAAGGATAACCACTAGCACTTGGGTTTAATCGAGTCAGTCAGACACTAAACATGCTTCCTAATTCTATTACTAGCATTGCGATCATGATCTCGTTAAACACGTCTGTGCAGGGGGCTAATAACCTACTCACCTTTGCAGCAACCTAAGAAGYGCAGTGACTCACTGTTGCTGCATAAGGAAGTGTTTTCATAACTGGATGCCTCCTTGTACAAGAAATAGCTATTATGTATTACCAAATCCACACATTTGCTGAAGCATGTTCAGATGTTTAGGATACTTCTCTTTCTAATCTCAGTCAGGATTGATTGTTTCCTTGTCTGTTGTTAATAAAAGCAAGTTGTGCCAGTACCTGTTGGGCAATGTGTTCCAAACTGTGTCYGTCACCCTTAACATCTACACACCAYGATCATGCTAGAAAGCAGCCGTAAGGTTAGATATACCTTTCTTCTCTTACACCATAAACATGAAATTTAATATTATAAGCGACTGTGAAGGAAGGTCATGGAATCACAGTACTGTTTGTGGATGGGACCTCTAGAGGTGTCTACAGCAGGACTGTTGCTAAGTCAAGGCGGCTGTTGCTTGTCTAGCTCAACTTTTAAGAAAACTAGGATGCAAATGACATGACTCTCTGGGGACTTGTCCCAAGGCTCAGCCTTATCCAGATTAAGAAGTGTTTCCTCATCTCGGATTTGAGATTACCAAGGTATGGCTTGTGGACATTGACTGTTTCTATGTTGTTTGACTCTACTGATTAGAATCACATTATAATTTAGGTTAGAAGGGACCACTGCTGATCTGATCCAAACCTCTCAGTTAAGGTAGAGATAGAGGTAAAGTTAGATCCAGCTATGAAACTCAATCACATTGCTTAGGGTCCTGTGCTATTGTTTGAATAGCTCCAAAACCTGAGATTCCACCACCTCTCTGGATGCCCTTTTCCAGTGTTTGACCACTTTCGTTGGAAAAAAGTGTTCATCAAAGTGTTAATCAAAATTTCCTGTGTTTTATCTCTGTCCGTTGCCCCTCATCTGTTCTCTGTACGCATCCCAGAAGAGTATGACCCCATCGTTTCTGTAACCCTCTTGGCAATGGAAGATGCAATTGGATCTCCCTTCACTTTCTTCTCTCCCAACTGAACAAGCCCAGCTCCTGCAGCTTCTCACTGTGCTCCTGCTCCCATCATCTCAGTGGCCTCCCCCAGACAGTATGTCAATGTCTGTGGTCTCACAGATACTGAGCAGGGGGTATGCAGAGGTTGCCACTTCCCTTGGCATACTGGTGATGTCTTAGCCAGTGCCACCTGGTATGCTCTCAGTTTCCAKCACTGTAGCAAGGGCGCATTACTGATCTGTAGTCTACTTCTCATCCCTCCCGTGACCTCCAGGCCCTTGGAGGGCCAGGTCTGCAGAGCTGCTTGCTATCTTGTTGACCTCTGCCTAAACTTTTGCGTGGGACTGTTCTTTTTCAGGCGCAGGACCTAACATTTTCCTTCATTAAACTTCACAACGATTGTCTCCACTTTAGATGTCTTTGGTGTAGACCTCTCCTCTCCTCTGTTTCCCATTCTTTGGTGATTTTGATTCATATGAGGAAGATGATGCTGGTGGCAATGCAAATGTAAGTGTGGAGAAAGAGGTGGCGGGAATGCACAGACCAAGATTCATGCTGAGCATCCAATCTTGTGTGAAGTGCCTAGATCTTTCCAAATTTTATTTTCGCTCTCCGAAGAGCTGGAACCTTCTGCATCTGGTGTTTGAGTGGTCCTGCTCCCCCGTTTCCCTCCTCTATGCCATACATACAATCCCTCTCTCTTCAGTTGTGTCTGTTCTTTAGGTGCCTCTGTGCACTCCTCCCTCCATTACATTAATCCCAATGGGACAATTTGCTTTGCTGTTCCATCAAATGTGGTGTTTTTCAGGAATGCATCATGTTGACTCCCGTTTGTTTCAGGGGACACAAAGAGAAAGGGGCAGAACAGTCCCATGACATTTATAACGTAATGTTTGTTCATTAAATAAGTCAGAACCTCTGCATTCAACATAACCCTTATCAACATGTCCTCTGGACATATCTAACAGAGAACAAGCCTTGTGACCAAGCCACCTTTCTGACTTATGATATGAGACATGACTTCATCCACAGAGATAAACACGCTTTGAATAACTTGAATCTGGGTTCCTGCTASAGGATTTCTCGTATGTAGCCACAGGCACTTTTCTGAGCTTGRGTCCTGGTGATGCTGCCGGGGAAAGATAGTCCTAGAAAATCCATTCTCATGCATTCCCTGGCAGGACTTCTGGGCAGCCCAAAATGCATTGGATGGATGGGTTTTGAGGGGCAGGTCTGTGTCTACATTTSAGGAATATTGCAATTTTGAATGCTGGGTTCATCATGACATAGACTAGCTCCTTAGTGATGACTCTAGCTGGCCTCTAGATTCTTCCCAATTTATGCAGAAGCCTCAATAAAAAAGCTATTTCTCTGATGCTGCCATTACCAAGTTAATCTGGAGCATGATAAGCCCTTACCAGATCTCAGAGAAGCAAGTTCTTTTCCACGAGCTGAGGCTCTCAGCTGCTGTTTGCAAAATTTGCCTCCATCCACAGAGGTAACGCACTTGAACGTTACATAACGGAAGAACCTMCAAGAAGTGTACGTTGAATTCCCTGTGTGGTATGTATGAATATTAAATACTTGTGCGATTGGCTGCCTTAAACACCCCATCAATATTTATAACTAGTTGGGGGGACAGTGGGAATTCTTCAGCATAAATTATTCCAAGCCTCGTTCCTGTAATACTGCAGTCTTTGCATCTCCTTGCATCCTGGAGAACTAAAGATAGATGACACGCAAAAAAAGGATCCAGTTGCCTTCTCCTGTTTAAGCATTGTGAGGTTATATAATTTAAAGGAAAGACTCATTTGAGAGGATTTCAGGGTCACTGTAATTCCTAAGTGTGAAGATTCATTTGTCTTCTCAGTATGAAAAGGGGGTTTTTTAGGGAGATGTAAGACTTAGTTATTTACCTTTTCATCTCATTATATGGCCAGTTTCTTCATAATCTCCCATCTAGCCTACTTTCCATTCAGGAACCATCTCTAAGGCTAAAAAAATACTCAGTTTCTGCATATAAAAGATGTAAAAGATGTAAAGTTCTGCATATAAAAGAGTCCATTCTTTACATGGACTCTTCCAAACAGAAACTAATTAACTGCAACACTTTTTATTCCAGGGACCTTAGAAATCTCTTATTCCTAAGAGACCTTAGAAACCACGAGAACTTTTAAGGCTGACTTGGGAAGCCCTCTAACCATTTTGCAAAACAGCAGTGTGACATTTTGACGAGCTATCTCCATCGCTCTCATTCATCTTTCCAGGCATAAGGAAGGCACTGTTCTTTTTACTATTATTATTATTTTTTAAAAATTTTAGGTATAGTTTTATTAAGTCTGTACATTGACTTCTTTTCCAGCAAGGAGAATCCGTCTGCTGATCCCTTCCAAGGAGCAAGGATATAGCATACCTGGTAGCGTCCAGCTCCTCAGCTGCTCTCCACATCAGCCCAGAAGTATTTCAGTGCCCTTTCTTTACAGTCTGGTTTTTATGGTTTATTTACCATGGCGGTGATAGAGTCCTTTCTCTTYGTCTTGTATTATGCAGCATCAAAATGGATTTTGGATAACAAAGCACGATTCCCCCACTGTGAATTAAAAATCATTAAGATCAGGAAGTAACCAAACTCTGTTGTTTTATTGGTGTCTGTTATGACTCCASGTTTTTCATCATTGGGCAGAAAAAGATTTGACACGGTTCCTTTCTGAAGGAAGAGAACATTCTTATGGAAGATGTGCATCTATCACATCTATATACAGATCTCATCTGTAGACTGCCTTGTCATTTGAGATCTACAGATCCCTTGGGAAGGAGAAATACGTTATTCATGGCAGCACTGGAGGAGTTCCCAGCCGTTCAGCTGAACACAGAACAGTAGGAATATAACCTAACTCTGAAGCTGGAGCAGAAGTTTGGGCCTGGGGCCTTCCCAGGTCCGTCTCTATCTAAATCCATTGATTCTGAGGCAGACAACATCCTGGTGGTTAYTTACTGAACAATCTAATAAACTAACTGGAAAGCGAGTCCAACCAAGTCTCCGTGGCAGCAATAGGTGTTTTAAGCTTTGCCCGTGGTCACTGTTCACAATGTTTTAAGGTCATCTCAGCTGAACTAGTGTAAATTTTCAGTCCTCTTTACTTTYATGTGGAAGTAACTCCTGAGTCTTCAAGCTGACCTGTGGGTCTCGGCGACTTATTTTTGCACCTTCATCCCAGTAGATCTTGTTCTCCTGTGAGGCCGCGGGGAGCGTAGGCTTT